CAAAATAATAAAAAAAGATAATTAGCTTTATAAGATCTATTAGCTGAAGCTAAGATTTCTGTGAATAATATGCAATAAGCAGTTTGGAAAAAAATGACTTACTTTTGAAAATGAATAGTTTGAAAAGAGACAAATGGTTAAAAAGAAATTTAAAGAAGTAAAATGATTTGTAAAAAGGAATGAATAGCTTAAAGCTAAAACATTACAAAAAAAAAAAAATGGAATTTGATATAAAGTAATCATATATAGAATTTCAGCTTAGAATATGCATTTTAAATAATTAGAATAACCATGTTAATAAAAATAATAGCAAAAGTAATAATAACAATAACAATTTATAATAAAATTTATTATCAAGTATAAAAAAAAAAATTGTATTGGTTATTGATTTGCGATCGAAATGATATAATCGAATTTTATTTACGGATATCTGCATCAATGATACCAAAATTTTGAGATAAGAAAAATCACTTATTAAATTATGATTGCATGGGAGGAGAATCTCAACGCAATAAAATGAGTATGATCTATTCTTTGATCACTCTGGTGAAAATTTAGCAAATTTAGACTGTCTTTACTATTAAGATTATTAATAATGTTATCACTTTATTAATTTTCATTTTCTCCGAGTGGTTTACATTTCTCTTCTCTTCGTCTATCCAACATTGGATAATGAATTTCGTAGGTAAAAATTTCGTATTGTGGAAGCTGCAACAGCTTTTCCTTCGTCAAGTAACTTCTGAAGTTCACTGCCATTTTGTTAAATGAAAATTTGGTACCGATTGGTTCTTTCGTCATATAGTCGTCTCATTGTTCCACAAAGTTTCGATTTCTGGCGAATAAATTTTGTTTTCTGATTATTTCGTTATTATAACTTTCTGGACTTCATAGTCTTAATTAATATTCCCCATATTGTGGAGTTGGCTATTACGGGAATTTAAACGTTTTTTGCGAAAAATTTGTTGATGGAGATTGTTATTTGGATTTTGCTCAAGTTTTACTTTTTTACAATATTTATTGCGTTATTCAAATGTAAGTAAACTGGTGTTGCTTTTATAATATAAGATTCGTTTATTTGTCATTAATTACGAATTTCTGCGCATTAATTATCATTGGTCACACTTTGCAGCAGTAATTGTGTAAAGATCTAGAATGTTCCTAATAGCGTACCTCATTGATTAAGCCACTGATCAGAATTAGTATATAATATCACATCATGCTGATTGAGTCGCTAAACTAGTTCTACAAACGAAAAAAAAAATGGCAGAAAAAATTGAAAGAGAGTTGAACGAGGTGAAGGAGCAGTTAAGAAAGGCAGAGGCTGCGTTGGATAAGTTTGAAGAGGGGGAAGGAAAGGTGCTGGCAGAGTTGAGGGATAAGCTGTTGAAGAAGAAATACAAAGACGAAGAAGAGAAGGAAGAGTGGAAGGAGGTGAAGGAGGAGCTAGGGGAGGGAAAGAAGCGACTGGAGGATGAAAAGGCAAGATGGAGTAATCAGGTAGCAATGCTTCAGGAGAGGTTAACTGCACCTCAGCCAGGTAATGACTTTTTGACTCCGGCGTTGGGGACATAGAGTAGTGTGTACATAGGGCAATATGTTTTCTCATGTTATGAATTTTTCAGGAGAGCGTTAAATATACAGTAACTCTGCTTCTTTATAATTTTTTTCTAATAGCTCCGAAGCGGGCTTATGAAAAAGCAGATCTAGTCGATAATAGTTATTTGATCTGTAATGGTCTCTTACAAAAATTCGAAGCAATCCCAACTCAAGTGAACGATCTTCAATCCCTTATTAATGTACCGCTTCTTCGAAAATTAACCGTAACCTCTGACGAAGAAATAATGTATCCTGAGCTAAGTGATTATGTATGTACAAGGGAAAAAGAACGTCGAAGTACTATAGCAAAGAACATCAGCAGCGCATTAGCCAGTTCAATTGATAGGGAATTTCCAGGCAATAAATCGGAAAGTATGCTGCACTATCCCCTGGATTCTATGATTAGAGTTCCGCTTGAGACTTTTTGTAGA